ATATATAAAGTTGTTATAACTGCCGCAAATAGACTGAATCCATAACCCGGCTTTTAATCATTCATCGTTGACGCTTTCTAAGCAGCCAAGTTCCGGCTTTTAATCATTCATCGTTGACGCTTTCTAAGCAGCCAAGTTTGAAGGTTAATGCAACAGAGACGAGTTTCATTAACGAATTCTTCTATATTTAGAACAAAAATAAAATTTAAAAGTAAACAATATAATGATTATAATGATCATCTGGGGAAATATCAAATTAAGAATATAATGTGTGCATAATTTTATAGAATAATCGACATAGATGAATAGTGTGTCATTATGGAAATGTATCGAAGCGAACACAGACTGTCTACTACAACCAATTGATTAACGTTAGGCTACATCGTCCTTTTTCTATTTATTCATTTAAAAAAACAGCAATCTTGATAGCAGCCAATTATAGACAAATTTTAAAAATGAACGACACTGTAAAAACAGCATGCAGGATTTAAAAGCAAAGCTCCACGCAATTTTGTCCCGTCTTTGGTGACACGTTTAAAAGCTAAACGTTTTTAGACATCTTAATGTGCTTAGGATCTTGCCGTGTTTAGAATTAAATGTGCTTTGGTACCTAGGCACATTTAATGCTAAACACGTCAGAAACATAAACATATTAGGCTTGGCCTAAACACGTTTAAATTTTAAACGTGTCACCGAAGACGGGACAACATTGCCTGGAGCTTTGCGTTTAAATTCTTCACGCTGTTTTACAGTGAAGATAGGCCAATAGACAATAATAATAGGAACTTCTTCTATAAAAATAAAAACTTGGAACCAATGTAAACATATATTTTTATGAATTATATTCCTGCTATTAGACCATATTGCCACTCTTTAACTTTAGGTCTCCACATAGGTATATTACATCTAGTCTTTACCGGTACTGTATGTTTCAATATGTTTTGGTTTGTATATAGGCCTATGTATTAACACTTACCGTACCTTGTTAAAATTTATAATAATATATAGCAATTTGTTCATAGGCCCATAAATTGGAATATGCCCGCACACCAACCCCTTGTTTACTTTGTGTTGCTTAAGTTTTATCAGGGAAAAGTGAAACTACAATTTCACTGTTCCCTGGTGTTATTGACTTAATTTAATATTTTATTGCGTTATCCATGTTGCAAGTGGAATAAGTTTGATACGGTTATTAAAGATACTAGCCTAACTGTGACTGGAAACAAATTCAACAATTTTTAGAATCAGCCTAAAAGAATCAAAATTAGTTTTCAACTTTTATTGAAACACAGATCAAAACAATCCAGTGTTCGTTGAGAAATCAATTGTATTATTAAAATAAAAGAACCAGAAGGTACCTATATTATTTATGCGTCTGATAAATAATTGAATTAAATAATGATAACATGTTTAAAATCAAATGTAGAATTGAGACTACTACCTACTGACTTCGTGTAGGCCTACAGACACTACACCCCTTTGGGTGAATGTAGCTTAACTTATGCTGTTACTGGTACCGTACGTATCACCATATTATTTATCATAATGGTTTATTTATTCAAAATCATCTTGACATTAAAAGTGAATTGTGATTTGTCTTTTTACAAAACAATTACAATTTAGCGCTAAGAGAATTATTAAAAACATGCATAGACTGTACAAGAACCGAGATAAACGTAAAACATCAAGATTTGTTTTATAATAATAACATCATAATTTGCAAAAATAGCATAGGCCTAGGCCTTTATAAATACAATATGAAATATTAAGATGATTTAAAAACATCAACAGTGCTACATGTTAGTGTTATTATATATAAAATCTTTATGTTGAGGTACCTTTGTGATTGTTCAACGGCCACTGTTGCGATTTTTTCGTTCCTCAATTTCCTTTGACTTTGGTGGACGGACTTCAGCAGTTTGTAAATAAAAAAATATTAATACGATTTGTTTATTCCTTATTTCCGGCACACATATATCGTAAGCGTATAATAAAATTGTGATTTTTTGTTTGTTTTATTAATGTGACACGATATGCCCTAATGATCCTAGATGCATTCTTTCCAAAAAAAAAGGTCACCTCCCAACTCGCAATTATAAACAAATTGAACCAATTTTTATACTAAAACACCAATAAAATGTACTTCAAAAAAACACATATTTCTCATACCTTACCAACTGGTGTGGAGAGGTGAGAGGGTTGCTTGTTAAACTTCTTTTTTTTTTTGCAAAAGGCGAAGAAATGACCATGGATAATCAAGAATTTTCTTTCGTACACATCCGTATGTGTCTTAGAAGGTAGTTTCTATTGTATATGTCTTAACTAGAACAACATAAGGCATACTGTAGAGGCCATATTTTTGTTTACATACTGTTCTTTTTCATAAACTGGACTTTTTTATTTGTCCTAATAAAAATAGTACAATGCTAGGCCTATAATTATAACTTTAGATAAAAAAAAAGGGGGGGGGGAGATAATGAGAAAGAAAGAGAAAAAGAAATTTAAAAAAAATAAATGATGACCTTCGACCAGTTTTTTTTTTGTTTTTTTTTTTTTTATTTTATTAAATTCCAGCACCACAGTGTGTCATCCTGGTTAAAGATGTTAATAAATAAATACATTTGTAAATACAAAATAGTTTAGAGTTGTTTTGAGGCTGCAAAGTTATTTTTTAACATCAGTAGACTCCTGTTTCCAATATGAGATTCTTGAAAAGGGTAAAGCACTTTGAAGATCAATAAACACTGCCGCTAAATACCCCATTTCAACTCTTGAAAACGCTACTTGTATTCCTCATAAACACGTCCTTGCTCGCTGTGGTCCCTATTTCCGAACCGATCAACACTTTCTCAACTATTACATTACAGGCCGCTGTATATTGAAGCGATATGGTTACGTCATTCCAGCTTGTTGAATGAAAATTAATTGCTTCATTATACTGACGTAATTGCCTCATGATTTAACGTGGTGCGTATTTCAACGCGGAAATACATGACTGCAATATCGAAGTGCGAATTAACAAAGTATTGGTGGTCAAAACAATGCGGTAAAAACTCAAAGAAATTATAGTTCCTTTACATTGGTAATTAAATCTACGTTTAATGATCACAAACCTCTAAAGGGTACATTATATTGATGGCGTTGGTTTTCAGAAGCAGGTATAAACTTCACAGAATATGTGCACGCTATTTTGTTAAGCGCAATATACTCGGGTTTATTACCGACGGTAACTACGAAGAGGAAATATGTACAATTATTGTCCGTGTGCTCTACTAGAAAATATCTCCTATTAAAATCAAGTGAAATTGAGATAATATGTTAATGATCATGAGTCAGGAGTTACCCTGTAACGGAGAAGTGTAGATTCAAGTGTTTAGTACACAGTCCGTGAACTATATATCAAAATTTAATGTGATAACTTGAACACGCGTGTCTATAAAAGTAAGCAACGTATACAGCGTCTGGTAATTGAGACCAACACTTGAGGAGAATAACATTCCGATTCAAGTACCGGCGGTGCCTTTGATCTCACCGCCATCTTTTCTACCAGAGAATGCCCTTTTATTACAGTTTGATTTCTTTGGATTTGTGTGGAAATTACCCTGTATTGGTCGGTTGTATTCTCCAGTGCATACGAATCCTTTACTAGCAAAGCTGACGATTGTGTTAGTGTTGAATTCTTTTCAATGAACTGCTTGAGTTAGTAATTGTGAACAAGCAGCCGGGTCAACAGTCAGTGCCCACTGCCCTATCAGTTAATTTACCGGCCAATTAAAACTATCGCTTGTAATGAGTACCGCGGTCGTAAGCGTATTATTGCCACTGATCCTGCCATAAGCCTGTTGTACTGTAGCCATTGTGTTCATCGGTGACTTCATCCACGCATGTGTCATCCAATAACCAATCAGCGCCTTGGATTCGAGTCAATGAAATAGATGAAAAGTTACTACTAAAATTAAACTCACATCAGTCGAGTGCGATAGCCAAATACGACACGCCTAAACAAGCAGAGTGAAATACAACTGTGTTACCGTGCCGACCGATTTCTTCCGATTTCGTTGAAGTAAACATCTTAGAAGAGAATCATCTTTCTTTGAAGTTTTTTCTTTTTTTATTGAATTTTCAAATGCTCGACTACTACTCTACCATGGATGAGTCGCCGCGCAAAAGCCCGGCATTGAGTACCGTCGCTCATGATTACAGCCAAGTATCTTCTCCTCATGCCGTGCAAAATAGTGAAACCGCCGATAGCCTAAAAAGTCGGCTTAGCCCGACGCCGGACGCAGTAGAAGAACGGCAAATACCCAAAGTAGATGGCGTTGTTCAAGTACAAAATCACGGACAATCTATCCCTCATATTACACCTTTTTCCGTATTGGACATTCTTGATCCTAACAAATTCACTGGATGTAATAGGGCGTCATCAAATGGTTTGCCATCGCCGTCTGCTTCAGATGAAAACGAATACGAATATTGTTCTGATGACCAGGCAGACAGCCGATTAGAAATAGAAGCAAACAACGAAACATGTAAAGGTAGGCATAAGTTTCACAACAGACATTTTAGACGTTATATTATACAAAATGGTCCTCCTTATTTTTTAGCTTTGAGCACCTAAAATTGTCACTGTTAACCATTCTTCTGAGCTTTCTAATAGTAGAACATGTTCATATTCTTTGATTTCCAGTTGATTGTTTAATATTATAATGTCTATTTACTGTTATTAGAAAATCCTCAGATAATTTATAAAAATCGTTTAAGTGGAAATTTGTATTATTTTATCCCAATGCATATATTGTTAGTATTGTTACTATTGTTGTTGTTATAAGAATTATATTTCTATTAAAAATTCACTGCTTGTAATGCATTGCGGCGCTATTCCTAATAAATATTATATCACGTTGTTATACAAATTTAGGAAGAGAATTTGATGGTAGATAACTTGCAGTGCTTTCTATTGGGTTGAGAAATAATAATAACAGGTCTACTCCTCTATGTTACACACACCCACACACACGAACCAAATTATCACAGCAAGACAAACCACCTACAACCATGCTAAGATGAGCAAAATAAACGTTATGTATTACCTGTAGGCTAATTTCTACAAATATGCCCTATACATTTGTGTTAATTTCACGTACTAATAATAGTAATACGCTAGCTTCACCTGCAAGTTGGTTCGCATGCGGCGCTTTATCTGTTATACTGCGACCATGGGAGAGTAGCTAGTCCCAGTTAGTGGATACCCAAAGCCAATGTTAAGCTGTTAGTTGCCGGTACCATTGCCAAGTCTGCTTTTTTAAATGATATATGCGAGAAACCATAACTTGATTGTTATAATTATCGCAGTACATTTCCATACCGTAAAACCTCGAATTGAAGCCCTGGGCTTCTTTTCTTTGCGAAATTTTCATGGGCTTTTTTTTTTTTCGAGATGGGCTTATTTTCAAAATGGGCTTCTTTTCGAGACTACTTTTGCAAAGTAAAGAGGGGGGCTTCTTTTCAAAATGAATGCTGTAAATTTTGTGAATTTGTACTATAAATCAATAATAAAAAAAGGCCACTGTAACATCAATCTGTATCATATCATGTGTATCATTTAACTAACCTAAACTACTGTATAAAACAAGCTTGAATTTAATTTATTTTGTTTTCTGAAATTCATGTACAGTGTACGGTATGTACTGTAATATCTCGAAAAGAAGCCTATGCTATCTTGAAAAGAAACCCATGGGCTTCTTTTTGGGATGGGCTTCTTTTCGAGGCTAATTTAGCATACTAAAGAGGGGGCTTCAATTCACGATGGGCTTCATCTTGAGATTAAGCCCACTGGGCTTCAATTCGAGGTTTTACGGTATTTCTTTTAAAAACAAGTAAATACATGTGCACATATAATTTATAAACAAAATAAACTGTTCATATAAGTTATTTAGCTAAGCTTCACGATGAGGGTATGATGCGCAGATGTACAGGTAGATGCTAAAATGTTGGTTGTTTTCCTAAGTATGGAATATTGTAAACGTAACATACGTTACAGGGCCACAGAAATAATTTTACGCGATAATACGTTATCATTTTGGAGGATACAACAGCACAAAAATGACGATTGGGCAATATAGTCTATTTTCAAAACACATTAAAAGCCGTGGGCCTATCTCTGCCAGTCTCGTTATCTCAAAGTACGGTAATAAACCTGTTGTACCAAGGCAAACGATCTTGTAAAATTAAATCAAGACATCCATTATTCGTTAGGTCTCTGATTATCAGTAATAGCCCTAATTAAATAAATGTTCTTAAAATTTCGCGGATTTTATTTGTGTAGTTTAGCTGTTTTAACGGAGTTTTGTGATCGCAGCTCTTGCCTAAAGCAGTAACAGCCATTTGAAAGAGATTTCGTCGGGTCGGCTTGAGGCTGTTGAGTAACATTAATCCTCGAAACGAATTGAATAATTCTGCCAATTATAGAAAATAAAATGTGTTTAGCGCCGGATTACTATTGCAGTTACATGTTTTCCGCAGACTATAATTTAATTTCTCTGCATCAGACTCATTAGAATGTTACGCTCGTTTAATCGTCGCATTTCCCTGAATATCCTCTGATCCGCAAGCATTTTCTACTAAACATTTACCGGCTAAAATGACAAGTTTCTCCTTTTAAATCAATAGCTAATAATCCCCATGGGGAGAAAAACTACAGATGTGCGCTTAGTAATTGCAAATAATTATAGAATTATCTTTAACACATGATTTGCGGCAGAGATTTGTCGTGAAATATAGAGTTATAGTAAACACGCGCGGCTATCAAACCAATTATTGTATCACAACAGAAAATGAAGGGATTATCTGAATATTGCAAATAGTTTTTAAAGAATTTTTATTAATTGAGTCATAAATGAAAACATATTTCAATGTTTTAATGTCGTTTATCGTTTTCATTTTATCCAGATTCTGACGAGTACGACGATGATTCGAGGGAACTCATTGATGTCGATGATAGCGAGAGTATTAAATCAGATTCTGGAAATGAGGAGGACGGTGACGATAAAAGTAGAAAACGAAAGCGAATCGATGACAACAAGGCAGGCAAACCGCGCCGAGCGAGAACGGCATTCACCTACGAACAATTAGTCGCACTGGAGAACAAATTCAAAACAACGAGATATTTATCTGTTTGCGAGAGATTGAACTTAGCACTGTCATTGAGCCTTACAGAAACGCAGGTGAAAATATGGTTCCAGAACAGACGCACGAAATGGAAGAAGCAGAACCCAGGCATGGACCCCAACGCACCCACCACACACGCTCAAACGCCTATCCCAGCAAGTCTCCCCAGTAACTATACTGCTGGTTTATTATATGGCTCACAAGTATGGCACGGACTCCATAGCGCCGGTGCAGTACCATACTTTTTAGGCTCACCATACACGACATTGCCATCACAAGGCCGTCATTTTCATCCCTACTTAAGTCATGCTACGTTATAGGATGAGGCCATGAATGAAAAAAGACATTTTAATATTTCTTCACTTCGAAAACGACCTACTTTCTTGCCTTAATTTAAACGAACAGGGTCCGAAAGACTTTGGTCGCTCTATTTATGTAGATCAAAAAGGAATATGTTGTTTTTTTCTGTCTCCTGTGAAAATTATGATTGTTAAAGTATTTGAAGTTAAAATATTATGTATTGCTTACAATCAATAATTGCGCCATACTTAAAAAAACACCACTGTACTTTTAAGGTCACTCACAAAATGATTGTTATTTATTAGCATTTTTTAAAGAGTTGTTATAGGTAGCATTTTAAACACAGTGTCGTATTATTCGTAAATATTTTTAGAGTCAATATTGTACTGCCGATTTACAAAAAAGTGTCAGAAAATATTTTTATGCGTCTATTTAAGTAAAAAAAGAGACACTTTAAACGTCCAAGTTTAGTTACATTAGAACTATCGTAAATAATGCCTTTAAATGACCATTTATACCAGTGAGATGAAACAAAAAATAACGGAAACCTTAAAGTTATATATTCCATTTAATCGATAAATATATGCGATCGATTTCTTACTCGTTTCACAAAGATGTATAAGTTCACATCTATTGAAAGATGTCACTTCATAAAAAAATGTATATTTAATTAAAATTTCACTTTATCAAGGGCACGCCTGTTCGCAGAGAATAATATTATAAATCAAGCAATATCGTCTGCGAAGAACAGATACAAAACGCGCAATGTGCTTTTTAGTAAATTAAAAAGCGCGTGCGTTCGCAGACGATATTGTTCTTACTTGTAATTAGAAGATTTAGTAAGCGTCTTCAAATGATTGTAAATTATAGGTTTATGTATGTACTGAAAATTGCCATATGTTGATTCTTTTTTAGAAAAAAATATATAAATATATGAATTGTTGCAACGTGAACTGTCAGTTGGAATTGTTATTTATTGTTTATGTGTTATGTGAGAGACGATAGAATTTGTGATAGGTGAATGTGGTCGTGTGGCAAGACGTGCTGCGAAACCCAAAGTATAAATTATTTTAAAATTTAATTATATACAATACGGTACCTCATTCTTTCAACCACCCTGTTTCAACCAAGGATCAAATAGCTGCAGAAGACACATTATAGCCACCTTCCGGTTCATAGGGCTACTGGAACGGTATTTAAATGTCGTAACCTCTATTAAACTATGATTAAACTCCTTGATTAAACACTGTGGGACTATAAATAAGACTAAAATATTGAGAATGTATTACATTCGTGTGGCTATAGCACCTCAAACCAAGTGCTGTACATTACCGTACCTCTACATTTACGTGCCGATATCACTCGTTGCTGCAATGAATCTTCTTTATTAAACCAATTTTTCTGCTTAATCAATAAAAAAAAATACATTTTGTATTTGTATTGAAGTAGGCCTATTACGAGGAGAAAATAAAGAGCAGATAATCCCGTATATATACGATTTACAAATAATTCTTAATTAAGAGAAGTAGTATTGTTAAAAAAAAAAATATGTTTCTTCGTATTGCTAATCGGTTCGATCCATCTGTAACAAATTTTGTCACCGGATGTATTACTATCAAAACGAAATGATCTACAGAGCCTTATAATGAGAAAAGCCAAAAAATCTCACCTCACGCTATTGTATTGTGGGATGTTATGCCAATTCTTGCTATTTGCTCAGCACCAGATCTTCGACCTTATTAACAAAAGTCAAGTACACATCATATACGACATAACACAACCATAAATATTAATACACAGTTTGCATGCTTTGAACACTACTTCCGTTTAGGTATACTGTAGGCCTAATCACAATACAGTTTACGTGTACTGTATATGGATGGGTATTACACGAGAGCCCTCCTCTAATCTCAGTTTATTTTTATGTTATTTGACGCAATGCTGGTTACGGATAGAAACCAGACATATTTAATGACAAATATTGCGTTATGGCATTACACCTCACTCCGCTTGTTTGTCATGTCTGCGTGGAATTTGCACTTGGATACCCCGGATGTAAACAAACATAAGTGGAAATAAAACAAGTATTTTGGGGTTACAATTACAGTATTATGATAACATACTTTGTGTTAACAATTAATTACATTAAAGATACGATACCCATAGTAATTTGATCACCATCTCAGCCATATTGATATTCACATAGGCATATATGATATATGTACACTTTAAACCATGAAAGTGTCCCTGTTCAATTCCATAGCTAGGCTCTCCGGCTGCATCAATGTATAGAAGTTGTCTCACGAGGAGACCATGACCCCCGAACCCTTTTGTCAAACACATCTTTATGTAGGCCTGGCCTACTGGGACCCAGCACGAAACACCAGTGGATTTTACTGATGCTTGAAAGAGAACTAGAC